ATTATAAAAAATGTCCGATGTTGGTGATATGAAAATGAGGGGTACGGACTAGAGCCGAGTCATGAAAACGCTTGTGGGACCACTGTTGTTCAGCAGCGGACTGGCGCTAGGCTGCCTTCCATGATATATATAATATATATAAGTATAGCTAATATATATATATATATTATATATATATATATATATATTATACATGTGTGTTGGTGTGTGGTGTGTGTGTGTCGCTGTGTGTGTGTGTGTGGTGTGTGTGTGTGTACCAGATCTTACCACACAATCCAACTTGGGGCACTATATCGCGGGGGCGGACGAGTGTCGGAGCGGCGGAGGTAATATTAGAAAATTACCCTAATGATATAACCCACAGTGAAAATATCCATGGTTATTCACATGACTTTCCATTGCAGGGGGGCTGCGCCCTGCCGTATAGAGATTGCGTGCCCACCGCCGAGGAAACAAAATCTCCACCACGTATTCGCGGCAGGATAGAGCGCGACACGAACTAGACGGCGGAGCCGATAACCTACAATAACCTAAGATTTTGAAGGTACTAACTTGATTGATAAATGCCGCCGATAGTAGAGAGGGTGCTCCCTTCTCGGAGTAGGATCACCCTTCATACACTGTCATCGCGGCGGCCATGGCGAAGTACTGAATGCGACGGTTATTTCGGTTAGGATTTCGAAAATCGTGGTTCCAGGGGACGGGAAACTCGACCTTGAGGCCATCGGTGTAACATCGAGAGAGGCGCAAAACCCGCCGACGAGGGCGCTCTTTCTGTTAATGGTATTACCGTTCATCCTGATTATACTACAATCGTCTCTGTATACAATCCGACTATGTCAAGGTTAGTAATGCTGATTCAGTGGGAAATGTTACGAGGTAAATACGTCGCCGCTCCGCGATCGACGGAAGAATTGTGTAACGCTCTCGCACTGCCGGGAAATAGTGGAGGTTTTGTTTTCCTCGGCGGGGGTTAGGGGGCGGCAGCCCCCACCCCCACCCAGGGGGGTCGCAGGGGGCGCAGCCCCCTGCAATGGAAAGTCATATGAATAACCATGGTTATTTTCACTGTGGGTAATATTATTAGTGTTATTTAACCTCGATTTTCTCTAGAACCTTCCATGCCCTCCCTTGCTATCGGGGCCAAGTTTGTCGCTAACGGGGGTTTGCAATAAAACCTACATTTTGGAATGTGGACAGTGAGAGGAATCCAACGATACAAAAATCGTCGATATCGGTGTGGCGAAGGTAATATAAAAATTACCATATATATAAATATATATATATATATATATATATATATATATAATATATATAATATATATATATTTATGTGTGTGGTGTGTGTGTGTGTGTGTGTGTGTGTGTGTGTGTGTGTGTGTGTGTGTGTGTGTTGTGTGTGGTGTGCATGAGTGTGTGTGCCTGACTGCCTGCACTTACGTAAATAGGAACGCTACCTTGAACACCTCTCTTGTTTGCGTTTTGGAGACGTCAACAGTCGCCTTCCTAACCGTAGAGACACGCGCGCTCTCCCGAGTGTACTTCGCGTAAAAGGGATTATGGCCATTCACGCGGAGACTCCTCATCGGGATTTTAAAGGGAATGACTGGGATCTTCTCTCTGGGTCACAGCTGTCTCCGAGGAACGTTGTTGCCGGGCGCTTCGCCTTCGCTGCCGGTCGGGGGGGGGGGGGGGGGCGAGGTCCTTGTAAGTACTTGGAAGTGCTTATCTAGACCTTTGTATGTACTTAGAAGTACTTATATAGACCTATGTAAGTACTTATATAGACCTATGTAAGTAGTTATATAGACCTATGTAAGTACTTATATAGACCTATGTAAGTACTTGGATGTGCTTATATAGTACCTATGAGTAATATAGACCTATGTAAGTATATATAGACCTATGTAAGTACTTGGAAGTATTGTATAGGCCTTGGGCGGAGCTGCCCCCTAGGGTGCTTGCCTCCGCCTTCTTGGGTCGGTTCTTCTTATATATATATTTATTTTAAATATATATATATATATATATATATTATATATATTATATATATATATATGTATGTATATATATAAATATATATATATATATATATATATATATATATATCTATTATATGTATGTATGTATATATATAAAAATAATATTATATATTATATATATATATATATATATATATATATATATATATTATATATATATAATATATATATATATATATGTTTAATATGTCTCTCTCTATTATAGACACATAGACATATATTTACACAATATTACGTAAATAACACACACACACCACACACACACACACACAATATATGTATATATGTATAATATGTATATATTATTATTATATATATATATATATATATATATATATATATATATATATATATATATAATAATCACCATATCAAAACCTTACAGTTCACTGCTTGTAGCTCAGTGCACTCCTTTAATACCTTCCCCTCCTTTCTCCTCCCTCACCCATCTCGCCTCCCCCGCCCCCTCTGATCTCCCCCCCCCCCTCCCCTCTGATCCCTCCACACGCGCCTCCGTCATGCCCGCTAACCTGCCTTCGACTCTTCTACAAAGGACACCTCGTTGTGTGCGACCGCCAGGCTTTTCGACCCGCACGTGGAGACAGCTGGTCCGGCA